TTTTTTTTTTTTAATTTTTCCATTTTGTTTCTGTCGGGCCGCTATTTTGGGTCCTGCGTGACAAGGTGGTCACTGTCTGCTTGGGATTAGCGAAGCTGTCTGTGTGAGTGAAACCACTTTGCGTGCCAAGGCAGCAGCTCTGTGGGCGCCCCCTTCCACGCCGAGCGCCGTGTTCTTTTGTCTGATCCTTGGGCACACACCGGGTCAGTGGGGGTGAGAGATCAGGGTGGCAGGCCTGAGATGCCCGTTCACTGATGTGGCTTGATGGGACTGGGCTTCGCAGGGGGGAGTGGAGGGAGGTGAGAGACGATTGGTGTTTGTCCGAGCTTGTTAGCTCGTCCCACCAGGTCTGTCGTGGTCAGGTTTATTAATGGGCCCGTCTAGCTGTGTGTGCGTGTGTGCATGTCGGCCTCTGTCACATTCAGATTTCTGTTGATTTTTGCACGTTTCACTAAATACATTGTCTTCTGGAGTCTCTTGGCAAGATGTGCAGCTTTTTTTTTGGGCGATGAGCGTACATGTGGGTACATCTGCTCATAACAAGGAAGTCACATGGGATGCTCAGGGCTACAGGGGTTATGTAGGTCACGGCTGAGGCTGTGGCGGTTCCTCCATCTCACCCACCATATATAATTCAACTCCCATGGTGGGGTTGGGGGTGGGGGTCCCGGGCTGGGGCTGGGCTTGGGGGAGCTTAGAGAGGAGGGGTGGTTGACTGGTTTTAATAATAGATGGGATCATGAAGGAGGGAACGGCTGATGGAAGCAGGGAAAGAGAAAGGGAGAGGTGGATCTGCAGCCGGCCACATGCGTGGAGGAAAAGACACTGGACATGTACACAGAGTGGATCTGACAAGCCATGCAAGGGAGAAAAGAGGGAACATGCGACAAAAAGAACGGACAAAGCACATCTCAGTGTCGGCTTCTTCGCCATCCGTTTCCCCCTGGGTCACAAAGCATGATCTCTCAGTGAAGGGTCCCAGATGTGACAGTATTTTGGCTGGCACTGGAGCCCAGTGACTGTTGGGATAAGCCTCAACAGGGTTTGTGTGTAAGCAGAATCAAAACAATGTCCGACTCATGCGTTTCCTGAAGATGTAAAACCATTATATTTGGATTTCACCTCGTCTGCGGCTCAGTGGGATGACAGAGTGTAACTCGGTGAGGGTGTCGGGCTCGAGAGCTTTGAAGACAATCAGACAAATGTTTTTCTGTCTTTGTTATCAGGTCCTAATAGAACTGAGATAGACAGAGACAGATAGAAGTCCTAATAAAGGGAAGGACCATGTCTGCAGCAGTTTGCCTTTAAATGAAAAGAATGCCTGTTTGTCCACCTCTCTAATTCTAGTTAAGCTGTTTACGTGTGCTTTGATACCCTGTGCATGAATTCTCCTGTGCGAGCTGAAGTCGGCTCAGCTGCCTGCTAATTCCTTCCTTTCTACCTGAGCAATAGTAAATATACTCACAGGAGAAAGGGGATGTCTTTGTTGACATCAGAAGTTACCCATAATCCCCTGTGAGTCAGGATTTGTGTGAGGGGAGTGAAAGAAATACGACTGAAAGGACCGACATGTTTCTTCCGCGCACGTGCTTCATTCAAACTCACCGGACGTGAAGAGCACGATGGACTTGAGGCAGGAGTATTCAGCCGTGTCCACCTGCAGGGCCTTCAGCTTCTCCACCTGCTCCTGGAAGACGCGGATGTGGTCCATGAAGGCCACCACGCGCTCCGCGGACATGGGCGAGGCGTGCAGGCCGGCCGCTGCCAGCAGAGGGGCCACATGGAGCGGCATGGAGCACTGGGCGGCATTGAGGACAAAGAGCTCGCTCCATGACATACGCAGCAGCGCCACCTAGAATACAGACGATACAGAGACGTTATTGCAGGAAGGGAATTATTGAAAGTGAGCAGGGTATCTCGAAAACACATTCACATCTATTCATGCGGTCAACATCCAATTTTTTTGTCTTCTTTGAGATAAGTCGAAACTTTGGTCCACAGAAAGTTTTATAAACCTTCAGATTACAGGTTTGAAAACACTAAATTATTATTCAATTTAAAGTCACAATTCAAATTATGCGATTTTATATCAGGTTGACAATAATTACAAAAAACTGCGGCAGATTAAGAGAGCACTGAACCGATGGCAAAACACTGACACTTGTACTGAGACAGAAAGAGCAGATATATTCAACGTGTTGACATGACCTTAATGATATATTAATGATACGGTGCAACTATAGCACGACATACTGTGGTGCCCATGTCTGCTCAAGGTGCATGTGAATATTTATAGGTCAAGCAATTACTGTGCCAAGACTTTACAGCCGGTGTAAATCTGCATCCATATTGAATGTCACCAGTGGCTGTTTCCTCCGTCGGTAAATAATAACCATGTGATTTCTTTTAGATTTTGTTTATTTCTGATTTTTGTGACGATCAACCAAAATAAAATGATTAAAATTGGGTGTTTTCATTCATTAATAGTTCATTTATATACAGTGGGAGAATTTGATCATTCTTCAGAAAACTTTTGTTCTATTTATTTCGGCTTTTCCTCTTGTCTCCAGTCTTTATGATAAGTTATGCTAAACAGCTGCCGTTAGCTTCACTTACACAAGAAACTGGTCTCAGTCTCCTCATCTGACCAAACAAGCAAGCAACATTCTATTTCTCAACACAAGCCGAGGCCGTTCTAAACCTGTCTGTTTGGAATGGGCTGTTTGTTTGGCCTGCGGTGAAGCTGGTGGCAGTATTTTTTTCTGAAACTGTAAAAGTGACACGCAGAGACTGAGCAACGGCAAGTGAAGACCTGCTGCTGGACAGAACGCCGGACTGGAGAATCAGTTGACAATCGTCATGAATGCCCTGTTGTCGTAATCGAAAACGTCCCAGCCGCCTTCCTTGGTCCGATACCAATACAAACGTGTGACGCCGATGAGATAAACGCTTCCCGAGAGGCTCAGAAACCAGAACAAAACCTCCAGTGCTTGTAGAGCAACTCACCTGGTCCATGAGCTGCAGGTCTGGGAAGAAGGGGATGTTCTTGGCCCACTCTACGGCACTGAACAGCAGCCTGGCCGCCAGCTCACAGATGTTCTCGATGCCCATCAGGTTGTTTCCCTGCATGCACTGGGCCCCGTAGCGAGACGTGGGGTAGGGCTCGGCGCGCAGCAGCAGAGAAATGAAACCGGAGAGGTAGGGTTGGCCGTTGTACGGGTCGGTGCCGTTGGTCAGGTACTGTCCCGGGCTGCTCTGGGAGTTCGATGTGCGTCCTCGTTGTACAGCTGAAAAAAGAAAACACAAATAAAGTTCAGTGTTCAGACTGTAAATCTGGATTTTTGATTCAACATCATGTGGCACTTTCCTTCCTGAACACGTGACTTCATTTTTAGTCCAGCCGACACCTTTCAACAGACAGTAAATACCTGTCATCAGGTTTTTATTACACCTTTATTATTCAGGAGGCCGGCTACAACACTATTAGATACACCTACGCCTGGATTACATCCAAATGGCTTCTGCACGGCCTGCATGGAAATTGCAGTGGTGGGAGCAGAGGGGGAAGAGGAGACCAGAAAGAAAGAAAGAAAGAAAGAAAGAAAGAGGTAAATTGGGTGTGTCAAATGTGACGGGTGGGGGGTGGGGGGTGCAGAAGGGGGTCGAAGGGGCAAACAGTACTCCTAAATATGTCAGCACTCGTCTTTTCAGCGGAAAGTGTCCGAGGCCGCTCCGCACTGCTGTTGTGCATCAATGAGTAATGACGAGCAGCAGCTGGTGAAGATATAACACCGCTTCACACCTACATATGTTTTGCACCCCCGCACACACACACACACCACACATAAATGCATACAGTAACATTGACCCCCCCCCCCAACCCCCTTTAATGGCAAATGGCTCCGCCTGAAGCAAAAAGGAGCACGCAGAGGCCAAAGCTCTCTCACACACACACAAATGTCGACCGGCCCCCTCCTCGTGTGGAGTGATGACGATGCGGCGAGGGCTCAAAGGCCCATTTGGAAAACACCTGTTCAGTCATCCCCACTGTCTGACTAATAACTCCATCTACTGTTACACAGCGCGGGTGAGAGAGGGGAGAGAGGCAATGGAAATGCAGACGGGGGGGGGGGGGGGGCACGTGTGAGCGAGAGAAGGAAAAAAATGAGGTAAAAGGGTGAAATGGCGAGATAAGGCGGAGAGGAAGAGAGTGAGAGGTGATAAGTTGAGGGAATAGAGTGTCGGAGTTCGACGTGTTTGAATATAGCCTGAGATGAGGCTCCGGACGGAGAGCCGGGGTTTGAAGAGGTGGAGGCAGGAGGTGAAAGAAAAAGGAGGGGTTTGGAAAATGCTTTTAACTCCGCATCACCTGTCACCTCACCGCAGCAGCTGTGGCAATTGAACGCACCGTGGCACGTCGGGAAAAGCGAGAGGTCAAATCACTCAAGAGCATTATAAAAATGTCTTTCATTTGAGTCTGACCCACGTGTCGAAAAAAAAAATACTTCTGCACAAAAGGTGTTGACCTCAAACTTCTGGTTGTCTCAGTCAACCCGTGCGAGTTCCCAGAAAAAAAAGAATGTGGTCTCCCTGGGCAAACAGTGCCGTCTCGCTGGGGCTGAGCTGTGAAGAGGTGTTGCCTCTCACAAAGACAGCGTTGCACAACGGGGACATTCCTTGTTACTCGATCGCACTCCGCCGGCTCTCGTCTTGCGTTGCAAAGTGCCGATTGTCAGATTAGCCACACGTGTCTGTCTTTACGGGATTTCACAGACAAGGGGAAACTAAGACACGGCTACGAGCAACAACAGAGCACGCTGGGGAGCAGTGAAAGACTGTTGGCGCTGGTGAGAGTCACAGACGTTATTGTAATGCAGGTTTGGCAAAGTCCTCCAGACCGTGGCGGAGCGAGGACGCTTCTAATTCAGGGGCCACAATTTACGCCGAGGGGTCAATTACATGTCCGACTGTTAGCTCTGAAGCTAGCTCCTGAGAAAAGCTACGCATCATCGAACATATTTTGAAAATTGTTTTGTTCAAGCTCATTAGAAAATAAAGACTCTGAACAAGTTGTTAAATTTTATGTTGGTATTGATATTAAGTGTCTAGACTGGGGCCAGTGCCCCCCCCCCGGTCCCCCCTCTGGATCCACCCCTGCCTCTAAATTAAATTCTTTCTGATTGGACGCTCCCGTCAGCGTGAACATTGTCGTGCCTTCCAAAACCTTTACGAGTCACTGTTGTGAAAACAACGTTGTTAATGTCATGGTCAGGTTTCGGCTCAGAAATACTTAGATTAGAGAAAAGATCGAGGTTCGTCTTAAAATAAGTATTTAATTAAAGTCCCGGACCTCCTCTGTCAATCTGAAATAAGATCACCTGGCTTCTGGTGACGTTCACGGCTCCTTCGGCCACTAGAGGGCTTTAACGCTTCAATGTAATCGGGTGTCGTTTTGGGACACTTGCTGAAAAGACTCTGACAAATTCCTCCTTTATTCCCTGACTGTCCGAATCCAAATCTGAGAATCCCGCTGACCTCAAACTGTCTGTGCTTGTTAACGTGTTTCATCTGAAAACATCTTCTCCTGGGGTGAAACAAACGGGTTTCCACTACTTCTCGTGTTCTCCGCTCGACCGCTCCTGCGTTGAACAAGCTGTAAAAGACAATGGACCAGATCTCTGTGGACACAAATTCCACCACTTGTTGGGACGCTGCTGCCTCGCATGTCGCTGATTTGTAAATTCATTAATCTGCTTTTATATTGATTAATGGTTAATCCCGCAGATGGTGGCGAATCTACTTGATCCTCTTGACATTTCAAAAGCCTCATTGTGGGGGTCACTCGTCGCTGAGCGGCGGAGCACTTGACTACATCTGAATGAGACACATTGCTCTCTTGTTTTTTTTCCTCGCCAACAGCTGGACGACAAAAAGGAAGCGTGAAACACGGAGAGAGAGAGAGAGAGAGAGAGGAAAAGGAGACAGAGCGTTGATTATGGTCCAAAGCGACAGAGACGAAGTAGTTTGACAAGGACGGCAGCAAGGGAGAGCGAAAGAGACAAATGACATTAGAGAGAAGCAGATGCCCGAGGATAAAAAAGGAAACCAAGGTCAGAGATAGAGAATGAAAGGGGGGGATGGGAGTATACAGTCAGATTTGGGCGTCTGCCATCATCTGTTTCGTGCTTCTTAATTGGTCCATCGTGGCTTAAAGTAATTGACTGAGCTCATCATTCGACATCAAGATGGGAAAACAACTTTTAGATATGCTGTTATTTTATGCTGCCCAACAAAATTATTCTGAACTGAAATTGAAAACCCCCAAAACCCCAAAGAAAACAATTACTCATGCTTTAGTAAAAAAAAAAAAAAAAAGTGTATTCCTCATATTTTGTGATGTACTTTTTAACTCATATTTCACTTTATTGCTACTTTGACTTGCGTACAATATCCCGCTGCTCTCTCCTCCCCTTGCCTCGTAGGTAGGGCACAAAATGAGGGCACGGCGACGAGGCAGAGGAGGAAAGTGCACGCAAACAGAGGTACCAAGGGACATTTCAGCTGCGACTTTCAAAATGCCACTTCAGCAAATGGCAGCTGGCAAAGTGCACGGTTCGCTGCCTGGCTGCCCTGGATTAGCCTCTGGGTCAGACTGTTAGTGGAATTACAGCAGCTAAATACAATTAAGGCCTATCAACATTTGGACTGAAAGGTCACGGTGCCGGGACAACACGCATGCATTATACATTTGGCTCAGTCAGACAGTTGTGTTTAATAAGTAGCTTTTCGATTTCTGACGCGCCCGCTGGAGAGCGAAAAAAATTAAACACGTTACCCGACGTGAACCTGCGTATGTGCACTGCAGCTCAGTTGTGTGTGTGTGTGTGTGAATGAGAGGGATTAACAACATTAGAAATCTGCTGTCAACAAAAACCTCTACGTATCATTTTGTGAGTGCGTCTCCGTATATTCTGCAGGTGACTGAGATCCACTTCAGTGTGAGATGTGACACCGCGCTCACGTCCCCGTGGCCCCCGGGGTTTTTTATTTTGGCCCTGACCTTCGACCCGCAGGTCAGAGTCAGATAGAAGCAGAGAGGAGCGAATGTGAAAACAAGAAGAGAGAGTTGAGGATGGGAGTGACTTTGAATAGCAGGTAAAAACCTCGTCAGACCTGTTGCTGTGGTCGTTACAAAACCACACATCTTACATCCCAGTCTGCAACATCTGACCTTCCTCTTTTTCTCAACACCAATATTAAGGTATTTGCTTTCACAGAATAGCAAGGGAACTGCCACGAGAGCTAAGGTCGTTATTTAAATATGAATATAAATGTAAAGATGTAAAGTTTGGATCAAAACAGTCTGATACACACAGAGATAAAACAAATATTAAAGCACGATGTTACTCAATATTTCAACGTATTTAACTTTTTATTGAATTTTAGACTTTTTGGGACCACATGGAAATCCCCGTGACATTGTTTGTCATTTTATTTATTAGGAGTTAAGATGTTAGCGTTACGTACACGTCGTTTCTGCTGCCCCCAAGTGGCCAAAAACTTTGAAATCGCAGCATTAAACACACATTAATAGTTCCTAAGTTATGACAGAGAGCAACATTCAACTAAATCCTCAGGTTTCTGCAAACTACTACACTTCTAACTGTTCTGATGAGAAACTAAACCAAGCTGGAGTTTAAAACCAGAACGTGTGAGCCAACGTTTTATTCCTCGTACTAACAATCTGTGGAGAAATAATGGGGAATAAACCACCTGCACCCTGGACGAGGACCAACTCTGTCTCCAGTCGAATGTGAGTGAGTGAGTGAGTGAGTGAGTGRGTGAGTGAGTGGGTGAGTGAGTGAGTGAGTGAGTGAGTGAGTGGGTGAGTGAGTGAGTGAGTGAGTGAGTGAGTGAGTGAGTGAGTGGGTGAGTGAGTGAGTGAGTGAGTGAGTGAGTGGAGGTATTGGGCAAAGCGGAGGCAGTGCAGGAGAACCGGTGACGCAGACAGAGAGAGACAGACACATGGAGGACAGAGGAGCCTCGCGTGAGGAGCGTTCGCTGTGCCGTTGCCTCAGTCCCTCTCTGTCGTACTTTGATGAGACAGTTCCTGAATTAATTAGTAAACCAAATTCACCCCGTGCTCTGTGACTCTGATTCAGGCTATATCCTTATTTACACTCACGCCCCCCCCTTCCCTCTGCTCTTTATTTACCACACAGGGTCAGAGCAGGGAGAAGTTCATGCCTCTGACTGTGGAGAAAATACTTGTGCCTCCAGCTGTTTGCACACGTGTTATTTAAACAGCTTTTGGCTTCGTGTGTTTACATTTCTTTCCTCATCTCACACCAGAACTGCGAACTGGGGCTTGAATTATTTCACTTTTCGAGAGATTATGATGCTAAATCAGGGATTTAAAGGACCAGTCCCCCCCCC